CCACACTTAATGCAATTTATTATTTCAGGTTCTCCCCTGAAACAATATGCATTACCCCTACTGTGTGATATGGCTCATGCGTCGCGCAACTCAAGGGAGCAGTTGAGGGCCCATGGTGGGTTGGATGTGTACTTGAGCCTGCTTGATGATGAACTATGGTCTGTAACGGCATTAGATTCGATTGCTGTTTGCTTGGCTCATGACAATGACAACCGCAAAGTTGAACAGGCATTGCTGAAGAAGGATGCAATTCAGAAGCTGGTGAAATTTTTCCAGTCCTGTCCAGAGCAACATTTTGTTCACATATTGGAGCCTTTCTTGAAAATTATCACGTATGTGCTGTTGTTCTTTCTATTCTTTACCATCAAGTACGTATTTAGCTAACCTCTAGCTCAAAAGAGGCCCATCCCTCGGCAATCTGAATTGTTGCCTGATATCCATATTTATTACAATTTTTTTTTTAGTACACCTTTCCCTAGACAGTATCCGTCATTTTCATTGTATCTCATGGAAGTTGATGTTCTTGAATCGGCTTGTTATAATGTCCAATTTTCCATTACAAATACTCTGAAAATTTGTCACATGTACATATGCATAAATCTGTGAACTGGTGAAACTCCAGATACGCTTATCTGTGAAATATCTGTCTTGTGTTGTCAACTGAAAGCGTTCAGATAAAAAATTCCTTTCCTTCTCCACAGACGTTTCTTTCTCTCTCAGACCTTTTTGTCTTTGCTGTTTATCTTTTCCTGGCAGTTTTACTGCTGTGCTGTAGTAGCATTTGATTTGTTGTGCAATCTGTGCTAGATTTTACATGTATATATTTCTTAAATGCAGGAAATCTTCTAGAATAAACACAACATTAGCTGTTAATGGTTTGACACCATTGCTTATTTCAAGGCTGGACCATCAGGATGCTATAGCCCGTCTTAACCTTCTTAAACTTATCAAGGTGAGATATTTCATTCTTTTAAATCATAACTTTTGGTGCTTTTGTTCCCTGATTTACTAGTAGAACATTTCTTTTTCAAAAGATAAGTAGTAGAACATATGGGAGGAGGATTAACATGTCAATCAATGTTGCCCGCATGATAAAATTTTGTAAATGGTCTGGTTACCAAGTCCCACCAGTCCTTTAATTCCTTTTCATCCCAAAAATCTGTTGAAAGTTTATGTTAGAATCCAGGAAAGGATCAAGGTTCCTTGGGTTGTGAAATTTTAGCTTATGATTTTTTGAGTCTGTAATACCTCTAATGCAGGCTGGAAACACAATTTTGTACCAATGTTTGTACTTTAGGGACTAGGTTAAAAGTTCAATTTAATTTGTTTTGATGTTTTTCTTCTCAGTTTGTGTGCGAGTCTTCGTGGGAATAAGTTTGACTAATATTTTGAGTGGACGTTTTGTTATGCCTTGGGAGATTTAATGTTGGAATTTTTAGTTGCTCACATATTGATATAAATTCATCCGGCAGGCTGTTTATGAGCACCATCCACGTCCGAAACAATTGATTGTGGAGAATGATCTACCTCACAAGCTCCAAAATCTGATTGAGGAACGCAGAGATGGACAACGCTCTGGAGGCCAAGTATTAGTAAAACAAATGGCAACTTCGCTGCTCAAAGCTCTGCATATCAATACCGTCCTGTAAATTCATGTCTCTTAAATTTCATATCCCTTTGTGTATCGATTCTTTAGAAATGAAGGTTTGTTTCATTTTTTTTTTTTGGGGGGGTTCCTTTCGTCCTTTTCTATCGCCAAGATATTATAGAGAAGGGATATGGAATTGGTGCTGGCTTTTCTTGAATCTCAGGGTATGCTTTGTCTCTTTTTTTTTTTGGCTACAGTGGTTGCTTTCAGCTTGTAGTTTCTTCTCTCTTCCCTCTCTGTTCTTTTTCTTTAGGGTTTTGTTTTTATTGTTTATGGGAGATAATTCCCAAGTTTTGGCTTAGCTCTTTTTGTAATCAAATATTTGGTAGTGATATATAATGATATAATGATTTGTTATAAGTTTGCTCGGACAAGAACTTCTTCCCCTGTTTTCACGTCCAGATGTAGCTGCTGGCCTGCTTTTGATGGGTTGAATCCCTTCGACATAAATTCTTATTGGATTCTTGGGCCTGACAGATATTACAGAAATAAACCCAAATTGTTTTGTTCCTTTATGGGTTCATGCCCATCTAAACCCCAACTCTTCATTAAGAAAAATCAAATTACAGTTACAACGTTACTTTCATTAAAAGATTATTCACATTCAAGAATAAAATCAAATCATTTCAGTCAATCAATTAGAAAAAAAACTGAGTTTGATCAATTCGATAAAGATAAGTAGTCTCATTAGTTGAATTGATTTTTGCAATCTGTCCACCAATTGAAAGGAATCAGCCATTTTCCTTTTTTTTGTCAGCAAAAACAGAATTACTTTTATAAACTGGATATTCCATCAAATATGAAAATGCAAAAAGACAAACATAGGACTTTAAATAGAAACAATACACTTAAAATAAAATTCTAAATGCACTAAAATTAAATGTCATTGAACTTGGAGTATCAGTCACTATCTCATTACCCAATATATATATATAGAAAACAGCCTTAATATCGAAAGGTTATATACCGTTATCCCTCCAAGTAGTAATGAGCTTAGTTTATTGAAATTCCTTTCTGCAGAGAAGCCCTCCCTACAAGCATAATGAATTTGTTCTTTTTCCCCCTTCTTTTTGTTTTGAGAGAATTATCATTGAAACTTGCAATTCCTCTGAACCCAATTTGCAAATAAAAGTCTTGGGGACTTTTGGGGAACATTGACCAAAAAGAAAATACAAAATCAAAGATTTCGATGACTTCTAGTATCACCATTATGCAATGCAAAACCACTGACCCTTCCATCAAAGCTTGCATAGATTATTCTTGCCTCTTCGTCTCTGCTTGAACCAACATTTCATACTCTCAAAAGCTTCAAAATGTAAAACCATGAAGCTCGGTTTATAACTTACGACTTACCAAAGCTCCCATGTTTTGGCACATTGATGGCTTACTATGGGTGCCAAGTGCTAGTAAGGCTTACTGCAGGAGAAAATGAGGGACGACTCGATATGGGTGGCTGAGTACTAGTTAGCCCTGTTGCACAAAAAAATAAGGAAGAACTTGATGTGTTAGCATAGGGACAATGATCGGTATCGACATTCTTCAGTTTCTAGTCTAAAGCTTATTTCAAATCCTCTCCACCAACATTCAAGTAAAGAAGTAACTTCAAATAGTAATAAGTTTAGCAGGTAATGCGGTAAGGTTCTTTCTAACGAAGAACAAAAATGATTTATTTTTATAAACTGACAGATAATGAAATGCTGGTTAAACTTTTGCACAATGCAGACAGCAAATTAGACAAAAGACATCATAGCTTGTCAACATGAATATAATCCACGAGGGAATCATTGTGAAAGCATTTAAATCAAGAGGCTGACTATAGTATCTTATTCTATGCGTTCATTAGAATAATAGCATTTGATCATTTGGAACCGAGGTAAACTTTCCAAAATGAATATAGGGTCATTTGGAAAAAGTATAATCCTATGAAGTATTTTGACTTTTCATGACAATAGACACTGAGTTTTAGGCATTGCAGAATAGAATGACATTTATTATGGAACAAAGAAACTACATATTAAGTTGTGACTTTCACAGCCAAGAATACTCAAATGTGGAACCTATAGGCTATCCAGTATTGTATACTTGAGCAGTTCTTGAAAAAAAAAATGTATACTACACATAGATATCATCCACATTTCCTTCAAGTTCGTGGGTTTACAGGGCAGATCAGACCACTCAATCCTAGGGCAAGGGCTCTTCCCCTCAAACAGCCTCCTCAATACTATAATAGTCCAAACATCCATATCAATTATACTTGCCAGTCAAGGTATGCATCAACAGATATTTTAAAGCTCATCATTTTCTCTCCAGGAGAAAAGCAATAATAGGAGAAAGGGGAAAAGAAAAACATGCATAAGTGAGTCCACAATGCCACTTGCCTCACCACGCATAAAGTTGATTATGCCCGATACTCTATATATGTCTATGAAGTTATGAAACCACTTCAAAGGAAGACAATTTCCTAGGATATATCTAAAGGATAAAGGATTCAATCGTTTTAACTGGAAAAATGATTGACGAGAAAAAGAAGAAGACATATTAAAACCTACCTCTTAACAAAAGAGCCATCTTCTGTATTAATGATTATTTCTTCACCAATCTCAAGATAAGGGGGTACCTGGGCCCAAAGTAACCAAAGGATAAACAAAAGAAAAAAAGAAGAGTTGTGAGAAACTGATAAAAATCTCAAGGTTTACATTACCTTTTGCAATTATCCACATAGAATCTTACAATATGCAACAAACTGAATTAGAGTAACTTCCAAACAAAGTAAACCCCTAGATTCTCTTAAAGACAATAGCACAGGAAGCAACAAAAAAAAAAGCGTGTAGAAAATGGAAAGAAAAAATCAATAAGCATCCAAAGAGCAAATCTCATATCTATGTAATGCAGTTCCAAATTCTTATGATGCATCACAAGCTTCATCAGGAACTTAATCGATGTGGTCAAAAGTATCAAAGCTAGAAATAAAATCCCTATTTATAAAAATATTAAAGAAAATTTAGCAGGTCAGTTGACATTGAAATAAAAGCTTTTTGAGTTGTACACTTTAAAAAAGACAATAATAAAAAGACAATACCATACATTGACCGCCTTCTTGATTTTCTTCAATATTTAGTTTTTGACTATGTATTGACCTCACTGTCAAAATATTTTGGCTTCACCCAACATAGATTTCTAGTAGGACCACTTTGAATTTCTAATTATATGGCCTACGAATGCAACTACTTTTCAAGCCTTGAGGAATAAATTTTTTCAAAAGCACTTGTATAAGTTTGGTCTACTTCTTATTATGATACTATGACAAGGAGCAGGATGTCAGCAGTGAACCCCCAACATTTGAAAAGTATCTTTGAGAACTTATTGGATAATCACTTATTCCTCTAAGAAATCAAGTGGTTGTTTGCCAACAGCAACTTTCGTACTTGGGGCATATCATCTCCAAGGCAAAAGTAGCCATTGATCAATCAAAAATTGCAGATATTCTCGAGTCACCAAGACTTGCAACATCAGTGCATTGAGAGATTTCTTGGGACTCACTAGCTATTATAGAAAATGTGTAAATGATTTGATGTAATAAGACAAATTAGAACTAATTTGCCTACTTGTGGATTTTGGGATAAAAACCTAAAAATCATACTTAGATTTTTGGCATTAGATTAAAAAGTCTTAACTAGCATATTTAAGGATATGATTGTTTCACAGAACCAGAAAATTAAGAAATTTTCAACCCAGGGGTTACAAAAGTATTCATAGTCTTAAGTAAGGTAGGTAGAAGTAGACTAAAAAATACTTAAGACTATTAAGATTAGTAATACTAATAATAATATGGAAAATAAAGACCATAAGATGCTATGGAAAGGGACAATTCTGCTGGATGTTGTGTTTTACTGCTGGAGCTTAATAACATAAGTTTAATTTATGTGTTAATACTACACACTATTTGAGATAGTCTGGAAAAAGCACACTAGCAAAAGAGAGAAACTTCTAGAGAGAAAGAGAAAGGAAGAGTGAGCGTGCTGATCGGGAGGGGACGGGGGCAGGGTAGGGAAAGGAAGTAGGGAAGCAAGGGCGAAGAGGTGGAAGAAGGAAGTTAGGTCGGCCGATCAAGCCGATCAAGGTGGGCGGATAAGATGGTGGAGCAGCAAAGACAATTTCTGGTCATCGACAAAAAATCGTTTGATGTGGTTCGTGAGGGGAGAAAGACTGACGGGATAAGGATTAGCGAGAATGGAAAAGGGTTTTGGGTGATGATTTCGCTGAAGGAAGAGGAGGTGGTATGGTTGATCTGACACGTTTGCCGATTTCTACTGGAGTAAAGGGGAAAAATCGTGGGGGAAGCACACGACTGAGAAAAGCCACAACAATGGGAGATTCTTGTGTTAATAGAGGAGAAAAGGCAGATTGTGAAGAGATTCTTTATCTCATAGGGAAACAAAGCAAGTGGTTGGTGGAAGGTGATGAGTATACGACCTCGTCTATTGGCTATCAAACCGAGGGGAGGTAGCAACGGTGGGTGAGGAAACAATGAGAGAGCGGGAGGCAAGTTGGTCATCTAATCAAAGCGCAGGATTTGGGGGCCATTTTGGAGGTGAAAGAATGAATGGGCCTAATATTCACAAGTCACAATGGGCCAGAACAGGATGAATGGGGGTTGAAGACTGACTTGGGAGCAAAACGGGAAATGGTTTGATAGGCCGAGCCCGAGCGAAGTGACTAAAAAGAAGCAGAACCCAGGAGTTCGTTGGGTCTGGACGCCCATGGTTAGAAGCCCAACCAAGAAGGCTGGCCAGATAGCAGAAAAGACAAAAATGAAGATGGAGAGTGAGAGGAGCTAAACGAGGAGGAAAAGGAGACTTGCGAAGGTGGGGAGTCGAGGTGTTCGATAGAGAGGAAACCAGATGGGGAGATTGAAGAGAAGATTTCGAAATAGGAGGAGGAACCTAGAGGGGTAGGTACAAAGATGGTGGAATTGGGGGGTGAAAAAGAGAACGAAGAAAGAGAATAAATTGAGGGCATTGGGTGTTGGGAAGAAGAAAGTGAGGCAACGAATGGGAGGGATCCAAGCTTAGTGGTGGTGGAGGAGGAAACTAAAACCGGACTCACTACCAGAGATCCAGAAAGTGAGGGACAGACCGCTAGGAGAGTGGAGGACGAAGAAGAGAAGAGTGACGGGGAGGATACAAATTCCCTTTGGGTACTGCAAAATATCCAAAGAATCAACAAAATAGTAGAGGTTACGTTTGAAGGGCTTAATGATAGAATGATGGAAATTTTTGTAGAAATTGAGAAAAGGAGAAAGGAAAAGAAAGGAGGGACATTGATGGCAAAGGGTAGGAGGAGACAAGGAGATGGGAGACCAAGAAAGCTGAAAAGACTACAGTTGTCAATTAATTATGATTGTAGAAAG